TTACGAGAAAGGGTATACGATTGGTACTAATATATGTTTAGTCGGTTCGTTGAAACAGCTGGTTGGCAAGACTCGTATCACTCACTATACCTTTATTCAGAGTTAGGCCCGAGATGACAGTTAATTTTGTGTGCATATCTTTATAACAATTTATGCAAATTAAAAAAATCAGACTGTGTTTTCCCAATAAGATTTTACAGTGCGGCATACTGAATATTTAGGGGGAGGGGGGTATAAAAGAAATCATCAGTTCTCAAAATATCGACAAATTTATATTAAGGGGGGTTTTTTGATTCAATTTGACATACGATCTCATTTCTTTTAAATCTTTTAGCAACTGGACTAAATCGCAACTTTACCTCAAAATTCATGACCATTATTTTTATAGGGTACCCTCCCCCCTCCGGCCCCTTCTTGCTATATTATGTTTAAAACATGAAGAAATAATTTGGAAAGATTTATGAAAAAAGTTTGGAAATGAATGACTGTCCACAATGACACAAGGGACTACACATGTATGTATGTAACATTTTTCTGCATTCGAAAAGTTCTTCTGGATAAACTATTAAAGTAATTAAAAAACACTCGGAGCCAAGACTTTGAGTACTAAGGATGTGTAAATACATATATGAAGTTTATATATATATATGATCGAAAGAAGTGACAATTTACTCAAAACTGGAACCCTAGTTTCTGTAAAAATTGATTTCCAAAGAATTTATGAAATGTTATAAACGGAAGACATTATTCAAACCGGTTCCAACGCATTGCTTTGGCTTCTGATATCTTCAAGTAAATATTAACTCTGTAAAATTCAAAATCGGACTATGATGATTTTTATATAATACGAAAGAAATCGTATTGCAGTGCGATAATATCTATAATAAATTAATTTTTAATTAAATAAGATTCACAGCTATTAATATGTAGACGTATAAATTAAGTTTTTGGTACCAAATGACAATTAAATTTTCATAAAGTTAAAAGATATATGTCATTTGCAAAAAAAAATGGAATAAAGTGAAACATTTATGAAATTATAAATACCTGAACTAAAATGTGAATACAAATGAAAAATGTAAGTGGGATCAGTTCAACACATGTAAGTGGATTGAACACACCTCAGTTATTGTATAAAGATAAGATGTGATAAGATTGCCAATGAGACAACTCTCCACCAGATACCAAATGTCGTAGAAGTTAGTAACAATAGGTCACCGTACCGGCCTTTCACAATGAGCAAAACCCATACATCATAACAACAAGGTCCCAAAGTGAATGCACCAAAAGTTAACACAAGGACAACAAATTATTAGCCAAGAATAAGTTAACCCAGTGAAGTCAGAGCAGACTTCACAGTTAACAAGTATACATTTTAATTTATTAAAGTATTCTTATCTGAGTAAAAGATGAATGCAAGTATTTTCTTTTATTTTAGATTAAAACTCTGCGTTGAATTGAAAATTATTGATAATTAATTCTTCTAAAAACACTTGTCTCATGATTTATTTAAGATCTTTTGTTTTAGATCTGATATGTCAATTATAGCATAACATCAGGTATTCAAAAGATATGAATTATTAATGTTTTTTATATAAATAAAGATTAGTACAATAAGACACCATTTGTATGATCTTAATAAATAATGAGGGCGACACAGAAAAAAAAAACCGTTGGCAGTAACCATAATATAAATATTAAATCTTCGACCTGTGTCTCTTATTTGAAAATAAAAAGGCTTTATTATGAAGGTAAAAATTTACAAACTATGCGATTACCGTAGTCACATTTCCATCCTCCTTCCTCGGTTTAAGACTGATCGTGTTCTGTGACTGCGCCTCGGATTTGTCTATGTTATGAGCAAGAATGAAGGGGTGCCACTACTATGTATATACAGACTTAAAACTGCATACCTTTCTGAAGTACTTGAAATCACTTGTTTTCTATGTTTGTTTTTATATTTTCAAGACTTTAGTTTTTCGTGTGGTGTTTAAAGGAACGTTTATCTTTCGACGTCTATTTTCAAATGGCCATGTTGTAAACTGTCTATGATTTGCGGGTTTTTGATATCCGTTATCGTAATCTTGATTTTTTTACGAATTATTCGCGTCTTACATTGTTAATATATTGATGGGTACAACTCTTTATCAACAATATACATGTGTGACACCCACATTCTCTATTCACCTGTCTAAACAAGACCTGTAATCCTATGATTGTTGTTTTTTGAATGCTGACTGTCTTAATACATGTACTGGTATTATCACAATTCAGGCCGCTGGTGATTTCTTATGAATTGTTTCACTTTTTCATGACGAGGCCATTTGCATTACCAGAATTCATGCCGTTGTTTTTTTTTCTTTTGAATTGTTTTTTGCATATTTAGTATACCGGGGCCATTTGTGGCATACCATACGGTTTGGATTTTGCTCATTGTTAGAAACCCCTATAACCTGTCGTTGCATTACACATTCTCGTCCTTTGGTCTCAATGTACATAGTCTTAATTGTAATCACACCGCATCTACTTTTTTTTATAGTATTAGAGGGTACACGTAAATTACATATATATAAGATAAGGCAACATTTTGGTCGAGTTAATTACAAACAAACAAGACATAAGGATAGAGTGAGTGTTCAGTAGATACCAGATATGGAGCAGCAATGGTTTACTATTAGTCGTAGTCTTCATGTTACATTGGCATGTAATGTGGTTCATTGCCAGCTTAACACTCTCATGTCTCTCTTTTATTCCTTTTGTAATGCCCCTTGTCTTACAACTCCTCTTAATTTAAATTGATTTAGTCATAGATTCACATTAATATAACAACATTGTCACTGAATTCGACATTTGAAAAACACTCTTCTTCAATTCAAGGATTTATCAGTATACGTCCTTGTTCCCATTTCGTTAATCAAACGCGTAGGAAAGGAACCATTCTTTTAGGGCCAATAGTTTACTTGTTGGATCATAATCAGGTGTTATAGGACCGCAGACTTGTATGATATATATTCTGTTTCATTTCAGTACCGCGGCCCACAACATAGGTCAATATTGTAGTGATGGCTTACAAAATGCAAACGCAAATGCACGAAAATCACATTATTATTTTTCGAATTATATTTTTGTAAAGGGGATCAAATACCCATAGGAAAAATGATAAATAAATAGGCATATAAATTTTAAAGGTTAATGAAATTTTCTGAGAAGATTACTTCTTTTGATACTATATAAAGCTAAAATGTGACATAAGAGTTGACAATTTGTTACCCTATTATATGTCTCTGTTGTTACCCATATTCGACGATCTAATATCTAAATGAATGCAAACAAGTTCGAAAAAGTTTTAGTGAATTTACACAAATTCCGATAATTTGATTTACAAAAATGTGACATTTAGCCTCAAACAAACAGAAAATCACAGATGTTAGCACCTTTGATGCATTATTTCCGTTAATCCACATGGATTAAGGAAATACAGACTTGTTAATCCAATTATCTTCTAACATCTACATATAGGATTAACTTGTTAATGAATTAATTTTTCTTCAAACACCGGGTAATAACACCTTTATTTTGCAGTTACCATACCGGATTGTAATTAAAATCTTGTTTGGCAATATCGTTCTACCTCATTAAATATTAAGGTGATAATTTTTGAATGAGTAATTTCAATAGAGTAGAAATCGATTTAAAAACTGGTATTTTATGCAAAATTACTCCAATGAGAGATAATTGGTAATTGTGTATAAATAGAGGTAGATTATAACAGGAGAATTATAATTTGTTGATTTATCATATTGTAAACATATAGCACTGTAATACCTTAATAGAAAATATTAAATATTTATTTTACATACTTATACTTGAGAACTGGAGGAATATTTGTTGACGTTAGGTAAGATTTCAATTTTCCGTAAACAAAAAAACTTATAAAATTTATTTCAATGTAGAGATTTTATAGTGGGTATTACATCATCCTGCAATTAATTTGATATGGCGAACTATACTTCACAACTAACATTCTCTGTTGCATTGTCTATGTGATCATCTTTTCTGTTGTCAATAAAATTTTGTAATTGACAAAAAAAACAACATACAATAAATACATATGAAATGATTGCATGATAATGCATGCCAAAGTATTAAAAAATCTTACTAATCCAGGGATACATAATCCACAATTGTACAAATATATATTGCATCAATTTACTCATTTCAAAAGTTTCTTCGTTGAAGTTAAGCCTTTATAATAACAAGACCGGTATGCTATTGGGCTACTATCCATAATGAAAATGTTTATTTAACTAATGTGTGGAAGGTTAATTCTATAAAGTATAATGTTTTTCAAGAGATTATTTATTATTGTTTCTTGTTTTTCTATCAGATTTTAAAAGTGTCAAATGCTGACACGTTTTGTGACAACATTATATAAGGTATAATATATATTTTACAGATTTACAAACATTGAGAAGTACTGGATGTTATAGAGAGAACAGACCCACACAGTAAGCGTGAAAATATTCCATGGTAAGTAATAACTTGGGAATTATTTATAAGATTTTAATTTCAATCATTTATAAAACTTTCATTTTGTAAGATATTGAAGATACATTAATATATAATTATCTCATACAAGTATAAAAGAACGACATATCAAAAAGAATATAAACACAGAAAATAGCTATATATCATATTTAGTTGTCGCTACTGATCTTCGAAAAATAATCTGATACAACGCGAGGTATATGCAAATACGATGGCAATGTATTCCTTTTGTTCTTATTTTTAAAGTTATAGATAAAACGATTTTACACGCAAATAAAAATGGCTTCTGGCAAAAAAAAACACCAAAAACGTTTAATCAAAATAAACGGTTTCATTTGCAATGGTTTTACCTTACTTTTTTTTAAATAGTACTGCATTTAACTGTGTATATGCAATGGTCTTACTTTATCTTTCTTTTTTTTTTTATTACAGAATGCTTACGTATGCTGAAAATGGCTTACATTCTGTTAGGTGTGTTATTGTTGACTGGTGTCAGCATTGCAGAAAATATTATTCGATTTCACATTGTTGAAGAACTTCCAGTTGGAACTTTGATTGGGAATTTAGCAGTTGAAAGTGGACTTCAGTTTAATTTTACTGATGGAAAACTCGAAGGCATTCGATACAGCTTTTTGGACCAATCGAAAATGCGTTCACTTTTCACAATTAACGAAAGAACAGGGAATATTTTGATCAAGTCTTTACTCGACAGAGAGACTGAATGTATCTTTATGGATTTGTGTGTTTTAACCTTCGATGTTGCTATTCATTCATCTAGTCCACAAATGTTTGAAATTTATTCAATTGAAATAACAATCGAGGACATGAACGACAACTCTCCGAAGTTTCCAACAGAACACATTACTATAAGAGTACCCGAATCAACAGTAGTAGGAACATCTTTCGGACTTACGGAAGCAGTTGATGCCGATTCTACGAACAAAAACATTATTCAGTCTTATGACCTGGTTAATGGGAATAATGTTTTCACATTTAATTCCTCAAAAGATGTAGATGGAAGATTATCACTAAGACTAATTCTGATTAGCGAGTTAGACCGAGAAGACATCGATTTGTATGAACTCGAACTTTTGGCAAAAGATGGCGGAGATCCAGTAAAAACCGGAACTTTAACGGTTTACATTGACATTGAGGACACTAATGATAATTCTCCAGTTTTTGAACGAGACTCGTATATGGTAGATTTAAATGAGGGGGCAACCAAACAAACTCCATTACTTGCTGTCACTGCATACGATAAAGATGTTGGGGATAATGGCGATATTATTTACAGATTTAGCCTTAGACAACCAGATATTGAAAGAATTTCGGAAACATTTTCAATTAATGAGAACACTGGAGTTATTTATGTAGCTGGAGAAATAACATTTGGAAAGCAAAACACTTTCAAACTCATTGTTGAAGCTAGCGACAAAGGTTTACAACCTCGAACGTCTTATGCTACTGTCACAATCAATATACTGGATACTGCAAACAACAAGCCGGAAGTGTTTCTTAACTTTCTAGTTCCAGCAAACGATAGTCTTGTTAGTCTTTCCGAAGCAGCCGATATAGGAACCGTCATAGCTCACGTGACTGCAGATGATGCCGATTCAGGACCCAATGGACAAGTTATATGCGCTGTTACAAACGAGTACGTAACGCTTCAGAATATTTCTGGAAAACCCGGTTATCTTATTGCTTTGAAGATGGAATTCGACCATGAGCTGAAACAAGAACATTATATATCTGTTACATGTTCTGATAATGGCTCGCCAAAATTGAGTTCGTCAAAGAGTTTTATGCTGCGGGTTTTAGATGAAAATGACAATGCCCCAATATTCAAAGAGGCAACCTATTCAGCAACAATTGATGAAAATAACCCAGTTGGTAAATATTGTTTGAAAGTGTCCGCAACCGACGCAGACATGTGGCCAAATGATAAAATTCATTATACTTTTTTTGAAGATTCTAAAAATGTGTTCTCTATCAATCCCTCTTCCGGTGTTATAACAGCAAACCAAAGGTTAGACAGAGAAAAGCAAGATGAATACAGGTTTACCGTCCTGGCCATTGACGGCGGAACCCCTGCTTTGACGGGAACAACTGTAGTTGTGGTAGTAGTAAAGGATTTGAACGACAATAAGCCAGAATTTGATGTTCCGTTCTTTCAATTCTTTATAAAAGAAAACTTACCGTCTGATACCACAGTTGACAGTGTGAAAGTATCTGACGACGATACCGGAAACAACAAGAAAATTATGTTTTCTCTTGTACAAAATCCTGGTGAAAATATGCCGTTCATCATCAACAACATTGGAGAAATTAGAACAACTGCTTCGTTCGATCGGGAAGAGGACAGTAGCTTCATCTTCGAAATAGTTGCAACTGATCAAGGTATTCCTGCTTTGTCGACAAGAATATTTGTTCGCGTATACGTTACAGATGAGAATGACAACCAACCTTCCATTATATATCCAAACAGAGTAAATAATACAATATCAGCGTCATATTCCACAGCAGTAGGAATATACCTAACTAAAGTCAAGGCAGTTGATATTGATGAAAATGGACCAAACAGCCAATTGACTTATGACATTGTGGCGGGAAATGAAGATGACATTTTTACTATCATTCAAACTTCGGGTAAAATATATTTAAAACGACAACTTGAAGAAAGGTCAACAAGCCTGAAAACGTTAACAGTGAAAGTAGCTGACAATGGAAATCCACAATTACAGACGAATGTAACATTCATTCTTGCTTTAAGTTATGTCGATTCTAATGCCCTAGCCTCGTATTCATCTGCCGATTCCGGTAACAAAAATGTCATAATTGTTATAGCGGTGATATCAATGACTGTAATAATATCTGGTGCTTTGATAGCAGTGATCTGTGTTTTACGGCGAAGTGAGCAAATCAGAAAGAAGCACATAGAGGAACATACTAAGAAAACGACCATTGTTCCGCAACTTTATAAGGAAGCGAACTTTAAACCAAAAACTGAGATAAATGTTCAGGAAAATATATCTTACCACGAATCGTTACCTCCCAAAGGGAAAGAAATTCACTCTAGTTATGATGAGGATCTTGACAACATGGAACTGTATTCTTCATTTGGTACCTCAGTTTTTACAGATACTCTACCTGGCTTAGAGGTAGGTTAAATTAAATACAACGCACATTGCCTCATACGTCCGTGTATGTTATACAAATTTAACCTGTTTATGTCCCTTTGGTCATATAGGTCATAACGTTTCTTCATAATTATTAATCCCTTGCATTGAAAGGTTTATGTTTGACTATTCCTTATAAAGGTAAACCCAAAAGAGGGCTTCGGACACACACAATTTATAAAGTGTTATTTTCATTTAAAGAAGGAGAATGTTACCGGTAACTAATTATAGATTTTGTTGCAATTGCGTGCAACTGAATGTATAATATTTCAAACATAACTAGCGTAATATAGAAACGGAACATATATATTAACATTATAAATAACACGACTTCTTTTGTATTTTTCAGAAACCTGGTCAGAGTATGGAAGAACAAAGAATAATTAAACGCTCTTCTTTGAAGCATGTACTTTCTGATGAACAGGTAAACTTCTATAGCATAGTTTTAATTTCCAATAAAACTTTAATGTGTCTTCATATGCGGTCAATTCTTCCAACTGCAGTGTTCATACATCTTAATCAGGAAAATATGTATAATTTAACCGCAGTTATAATGTCAATGATCATTCTGTCAAATTTTCTCCGCTTGAAGACAAACATTTAATATAATAAGCTTTATCTACAAGTAAGACACATGCGCTTTTTAGAGTCCAAGAACAAATTACACCACAGAGTAATTGGTACTGGACAGCAAGACAAATCATCCCGGTAATGACTTTTAAAAATACAGTCAGAATATTTTTCATCTGCGCAGTTCGGAGGTTTTTTTCTTCAGATTTTTACAATATTAACATACTAAGCTTGAATATTAATTCACTTGTTTCGCACGTTGTAATCTTTATTTTGAACTTGTAGATATCTGGAATCCACAGTTTAGATGATATAAGTGAGATATCAAAAGAAGATAACAATTCTGACAGTGGGCGTGGCAGTAGTGATCCAGATTTAACAAGGCAGTCAAATTTGTACTGTAAGTATTAATATCAAATTAAGTCTTTTGTTTGTGTATAGGATAATTCGAAGTATCTTCGAGCTCAAAGTTTCTTCAAGTCTAGAAAAATTGCAAATACATTTATGAGCCACCGACACCAAATTTCCGAAAGAACAAAAAGAATCTAGCTTGGACTAAAGGCAGCGACTGACAAGGTTTCTGGCTTGAGACGGGCATATGAACACAAGGCGTGGTTATACCAGGTGCTTATGAACATTATGCATGGTTATACCCGGGGCATATGAACATTATGCGTGGTTATACCCGGGGCATATGCCGGGACATAAGGCGTACTTATACCCGGGGCATATAAACATTAGGTGTGTTTATACCAGGGACAGATGAACATTAGGCGTGGTTATATACAAGGGGTATATGGACATAAGGCGTAATTATACCCGGGCATATAAACATTATGCATGGTTATACCCGGGGCAAATGAACATTATGCATGGTTATACCCGGGGCATATGAACATAAGGCATAGTTATACCCGGGCATATAAACATTATGTGTGGTTATACCAGGGGCAGATGAACATTATGCATGGTTATACCCGGGCCATATGAACATAAGGCGTTGTTATACACGGGCATAATGCGTAGTTATACCCGGGGCATATAAAGATTAGGTGTGGTTATACCAGGGGCAGATGAACATTAGGCGTAGTTATACCAGGGGCAGATGAACATTAGGCGTGGTTATACCAGGGGAAAAATGAACATTAGACGTGGTTATAACCGGGGCATATGGCCATAAGACGTGGTTATACCAGTCTTTTAGCAATTTTTCTCCCACTTTTAATCTCGATCAGTGGAATAAAAAAAGATAAACTGAAGAATGTACATCAACAATCAATACAGAAGCAGCATTTTACTCTGTAGTAGTCAAGGAAACATAGAGAGCAAAACCATAAGTACAAGTAAAACATTAGTATGTTAATATTACCATTTTGAAGAATCAACGCAGAAACTTAAAGTACTTCTTAAATCTCTGAATGAAACCATGCCGTTATTCTCTTTAATATCGGCGACTAACATTTGAGTGCGTTCACTTTATATGCAAATATTAATCGGACTTCTTCATACGTTAATCTTATGAATTTGATTTCTTTTATTTCAGATAACGACAAATCTGTACAAAGACCAAAACCAGCACTGAAATCCAAACTTCGAGACAGATTCACAGACATACACCGTGAAGACGACTCTGCTTACATGCCATTTGAACAGAAATATTACGGCTTTGTTGATAGGCCTGCAATCAGTCAAAATACGAACAGCTACAAAAATGATTTAAAAATTGTACGTTTTGATGATCATGGACAATTTTGTGTAGAGACTTCTTCATTTGTTTAATGAATAGAATGAGATTTAAATGTTAAACATTATTAAGATAATGCAAATGAAATATCAAGTTCACTTAAAAATTGTGTATCATTATTGCCAGTGATACGACTACATACACAAACCGAAACCGAACTACCTGATTAATAAAAAAGAGACTATTTGGTCAAAGAAATACTAAATCAATCTATTTGAGACTACTTACGTTCGTTCTGCATGTATGTGTTTGTATGTGTGTGCGCGTGTGAGTATGTGTGTATTTATATATACTGTTATTGACAAGTTTTCAATTGTGCTAATTACTTTCTTTTCAGATTGTACATGTGTAATTTATTCTGTTAATTTATGAATAATCGTTTGTTATCTTGCCTAACTTTGTTGTTATGTTGTTGGAATAACCAATTAAAATATTTCACATTTTATGAGTGATATTTTTTTCAGTTTACGTTGATATAAAAATCATTTCACTATTCAATATATCATTTATGGAATCTTTAACAGGAATGTTGAATATAGACACTTCGTACCGGTAAAAACTGTCTGACTTTCCTTTGTTTTAAAAATTCAATTAACATGTACCATGTCGGAAGACTTGATTGAAGATACTTTATTTTTTCATGTTGCTGATTTTTTATCAACTCTGTCAGACTGTCACTGTAAACTGACATTTGGCCTGTTAGCTAGTTACTCGCATAAAGCTAAGGAGCAAGACAATACTATTTTATTTCCAGGAAAATATATATGGTCAGAAACCTCTACACAAAAACTTCAAGATACTTTATGCCAGCCAATTATTAGAAATAGTATCAAAAATTTTTTAGACACAAAATTTAATCTTTCAGAGGACTATATTGAAAAGGCAGCTAATGAATGTTTTGATATAATAGATAATGCTGCCAGTAAATGTTTAATATTCCGTAAAACCAAGAAAAAAGTTGCACGTAAATACAAAAACAAAAAATGGTTTGACAAAGACCTGGTACAAAAACGTAAAAGCCTTATTTCTAAAGGTGAGCTGTTATCAAAATTCCCCTGGGACCCAATTATAAAAGGGTCTTACTATAAATGTTATAGAGAGTATAATAAGCTACGTAAATATAAACAAAGGAAATTTAAACAAAACATTCTTGACAGTCTGGATAATCTAAGGGATAATAATCCAAAGAGTTATTGGAATCTCATCAAAGAATTAAAAGAAGACAATTTGGATGGTCCAGAACATTCTATTCAAACTAACGTCTGGTTTTCATATTTTCAATCTTTAAATCTCAACTCTGACAAATTTAAAGACAGATTAGAGGAAATTAACAAGAAAGTAAAAAATTTAGAAAATAATCCAACTTTTTGTGAACTGGATTACAAAATAACCCTAAAAGAAATTTTGGATGCTATAAATAAACTAAAGAATAATAAAGCTGCAGGACTAGATGGTATCCCAAACGAGATATTAAAATCAGGGGGTAGTATATTTGCACCTGTTTTGCAGAAACTTTTTAACTTGATATTCTGCTCTGGAACATACCCTCGCAAATGGTCATTGTCTTATATATGTCCAATTTTTAAAGCAGGGAGTCCTAGTAAACCTGAAAATTACAGAGGCATAGCAATTAATTCATGCATTGGAAAATTATTTAACAGTATTCTTAATAAAAGACTTGACATTCATCTTGATAAAAATAATATAATTCATCCATGTCAGGTTGGTTTCTCAAAAAAGAGCAGAACATCTGACCATATGTTTGTTTTAAAAACCATATTAGATAAATATACTAACAGAAAAGGGGGGAAAATTTATGCTTGCTTTGTGGACTTTAAAAAGGCTTTTGATAGGGTCATACACTGTGGTATTAGATACAAATTATTGGAAAATAACATATCTGGAAAATTTTATACTATTTTAAAAGACATGTACAGAAAAAATGAAATGTCGGTGAAAGTGGGTAATGTACTAACGCCATCTTTCAGCTCGCTAGTTGGGGTTAGGCAAGGGGATGTTCTAAGCCCAAATTTATTTAAGCTTTTCATTAACGATCTGCCTCCAAGATTTGAGTCGAGTCCAGATGCTGTTTATATCAATGGGCGTAGAATTGATTGTCTTATGTACGCCGATGACATTATTATATTATCAAACACTAAACAGGGTCTGCAAACCCGACTTGATAACCTGCAAACTTATTGTATTGATTGGTGTCTAGATGTTAACTTGTCCAAAACAAAAGTTTTAATTTTTAACAAGCCTGGAAAATTTTTGAAGGAATCACTTTGTTTAGATAATGAGGCTATAGAATGTGTTAACAGATATAAATATTTAGGGATAGTCTTTACTTCCAGTGGTCTTTTTCAGCAGGGGAAAGAAGAGCTATTCAAAAAGTCCTTAAAGGCAAAATTTAAACTACAAAAATCCATGTCAGCTTGTAATCCAAGTATTGATACTGCAATCCATTTATATGATCACACAATAAAACCAATTTTATTATATTGTAGTGAAATCTGGGGTACCTTTAAGATTAACTCTGCTGCTTGCAAGAAAAAAAGTGATTATCTATTTGAATTAATTTACATAAATGATTATTTGGAAAAATCACATTTCAGGTATCTAAAATATATTCTTGGTGTAAATAAAAAAGCCTCAAATTTGGCAGTGTTATCAGAGGTTGCAAGATTTCCTCTTTATTTTTCTGTCATTATATCTATGGTAAAATATGTACACAGGCTTAACAAATTGGACGATGGGTTACTTTATGATGCTTATGTTTGTAATAAAATTTTAGATGCAGGAAACATTAATTGTTGGTATTCATCTATGAGATATGTCCTTCAATCACTTGATATACAAAATTTGAATACAAAGCTCAATAGATTAATTAAATTTGTAAAATGTAAACTTTGTAACAGTTTTAAAACATTTTGGGGGGTCAAAAGATCTGATACCTTATCACAAGGTAATAGTAAATTAGAAAATTATTTCAACCTCAAGACTGACTTCGTAAAGGAGGCTTATTTATCAATTAAAGATTTTAATATAAGAAGAGCTATATGTAAATTGAGAATAAGTGCACATGATCTTAAAATTGAGAAAGATGGGTATAGTAAAAAATACATAGAGAGAAGTCAGCGTCTATGTCATCACTGCCTATCACATGGATCAAATTCTATTGAAGATGAGACCCATTTCACAGTAAGTTGTCCTTTATATAACGAACAGAGAAAATTATTATGGGATAAAGTAAACAGTTTTTGTAATAATTTTAAAGAATTACCCAAGGATAAAAAATATTTCTGGCTGTTCACAAATGAGCATTTACCAACTCTTATGTGCCTAGGCAATTATATAATTAAGTGTTTAGAAATAAGATCCAGGTGGATACAAAATATATAAAATTATTATGCAATTATTGTTAATGTTATGTAAGACACATGATGTGTTAGGCTCTGATCCTGTCCAATATATGATAGTATTATATTAGGATATAGTTTTTCTTTTTTCCAATCATATTGTGCTTAATATTGTTGTAAATGATGCCCTTTATGGGTTCTTGATTAGATTAATAAAATTCTTATCTTATCTTATCTTATCTGTACCAATGGTTTATTAATTTTGTATCTTAGGGATATATCATAACCCTTATGATACGGGTTATGTTCTTCTCATATATTTTATGATGTTATGATACTAAACCCCTAACGAGAGGGATTGTGCTTGATTTTCATATGAGAAAGACATAATCTTTCAATCAGTTTAATTGAGGTCTGGAGGTGGCATGTCAGTAACTGCTAGTAGTCCTTTTTTAATTTATGTTTCATTGTCATTTTGCTTAGTTTCTTCTGTTACCTATTCTGACATCGGACTCGGACTTCTTTTAAATTGAGTTTTACTGTGCGTATTTCTGTGTGTTTGTTTATTCTATATCGGCTAGAGGTATAGGGGAGGGTTGAGATCTCACAAAACATGTTTAACCCCGCCTCATTTTTGCGCCTGTCCCAAGTCAGGAGCCTCTAGCCTTTGTTAGTCTTGTATGTTTTTTTTTTAAATTCTAGTTCATTTATATGTTTCGGAGTTTAGTGTGACGTCCATTTTCACTGAACTAGTACACATTTTTGTTTAGAGGCCAGCTAAAGCCCGCCTCCGGGTGCGGGATTTTCACGCTGTGTTGAAGACCCATTGGTGGCCTTGTGCTGTTTTCTGCTCTTTGGTCGGGTTGTTGTCTCTTTGACACATTCCCCATTTCCATTCTCAATTTTATGCACAAACGAAAATATTCACAGATTCGCTTATTATGCAATCACCTGATAATATTCTTATGGAGTGACACGGCGGATGTCACCAGTGGAGTTTCTTACCCTTTCAGAGCATGTAAGTGTACCTACAATTTTTGTTGTGGTTCGTGTTGCTCGACCTGTACTTGCAAATGAGACAACCCTCCACCAATGAAAAAATGACGTAGAAGTTAGCACATATACGTCACCGTAAAGCCTTCAACAATGAACAACAAAACTTACGGCCTGTACAAAACAATAATAAAAAAACAAACATCCACTGAATTGCGGGCTTCTGTCTTGGGATAGGCACATACAGAATGTGGCGGAGTTAAACATGTTCAAGCCGGACATGTTCAAAACGGAAATAAATCCAGAGTTGTCTCTCTTAGTACGTATTTTCAATGGTAGCGTTCCTATCAGGCCAACTGTTATATCGATTTAAATTATACTAAATATTAGTAATGCACTATTTATTACAAAATGTATCATCTTGTTGAAAGTCGATCAGTTATCTTTGATTCTGAAAAATGTCATGCTCTTACCACTTTGCAGTTTTTACTGATCAATCTTTCCTTTAATTTAAATTATCACTATAGTATAGTGAAAGATACCGATCTGATAGCATTTAATCTGTTTGATCTAGAAGGATCGATATGCTTTGATTGTTATGGTTGTATCAACTCGCAATGAGACTCCCATACTAACCTTATGAGTAATGATCCCATATAAATTGCCCAACTTATAATTCCTTGCTTGATCTGTATTCTAGGACATGATGTTATTGAGAAGAAAGAAAAATATTGATAAAACTAAAAAAGCATGTCATTTCGGGGCCTTTTATAGATGACTGTGCGGTATGGTCTTTGCTCATTGTTGAAGGCCGTAAGGTGACCTATAGTTGTAAATTTCTGTGTCATTTGGTCTCTTGTGGAGAGTTGTCTCATTGGCAATCATACCACATCTTCTTTTTTTATATGTAGAGAGAAAAGACTTTTAAAAATTAGCTGCCTTACTGAAATTGGTCATTTCAAAGGTATGCACAATCTGAAACAATATCCAATTAACAAATATCAAGTAAGTGACTATAAGAAGAAAAGTACAGTAAAAAAGTTCTACTCTGCTTAAAATT